ATTTGTGGTTCAGGTTCAGGTTCAGTTCAGGTTCATTGAACCTAAATTTGAACTGAACTGAACCTAGGAACCCTAATCTCATTATCAACCCTAAAGAAACAAATAAAACACTACATCGAGGTCAATTATCCATTTATGTTCAACCAGAGTATTTTGTAGGAACTTCATCTTTATCTCATATGAGAGATTTAATTAAAATTTCAAAGTGTGATGATTTTGCGCCGATGTTGAAATATAGTGACCATCTTAAGTCCATTTGGTTCTTGTTAGTTGACGGGGGGCCAGATGAAAACCCAAAACATTTAAAAAATATTGTTGAATATTGTCATCTTTTTCATGAACTTGATCTTGATTATCTTTCTATTAGAACACACACCCCTTATCAGTCAGCTTACAATCCAGTAGAACACAGTATGTATACACTCTCTGAAAAGCTAGCTGGAATTGAGCTTCCAATTAATAAATTTGGTTAGTGTTAATACAGTTGGCTCTCTTTATAATAAACATACGGTTTTTCTGATAAAAAGCTTTGAATTCCTTAGAGTAATTTTTTTTTTTTTTTGAACCCTTTCCTGAAGGGATGCCAGTTGGCATAATTCTTAGAGTAATTTATATTATTCTATAATAAATTTTAAAAAAAGTTTGTTATTGAGTAGTTTCATTATAAAAAAGTTTATAATAAAGAGAGTTGACATATATAAGTTTAATATAACTTTTTTTTTTCTTCCTCTAATGCTTTAATTCTAGAATCTCATCTTAACAGCCAAGGTATAGTTATAAATGAAGACTTGGCAAAGCGCAACTTTGAATTTTCTGGTCAGAGTTTGTGCGAAATTTGGAGACATGATAATATTCATGGAAGACAAGTGCATGCCAATTACATTGATTATGATGAAGATCCTTTTCATAATAAAGAAAAAGAACCTACCACGTGGTTGTGGATAGAATGCCATACTCAGCTATGCTGCTACTCTCTAGATGTGCGAAAATGCCCTGATCGAAATTGTTGTAGTGATGTTTATGCCAAAGAAGCAATTGATCTATTAAAGGAAAATGGTGGGTTTCTCCCACCATTATCAAAAGGAAAAGATAATCACTTTTTAAATCCAATCCATGTTTTGCAATATATAGACAAACCAAAATTGTCTAAATATGATGAAGAGTGCCCTTTACTATCATCACAAGCACATCAAAGACTTTGTTATAATATATGCAGTAAATATTTTCCTACCGCAAAGATGATTACAAAACACAAACAAACAATTCATGCAAAAAAATTACTTCAAAAAAACGAAAATCAAACCTCTATATCTGATTTTGCACTTCCCATTGTGCTAATTGAACATGTTGAACTGCCTTACTTATCTACAGAAGAGGTTATCGAATCCTTAGAATATCTTGACAATGATAACCATCAAATTCAACTAAGTAATTCAACTTTTATGGAAAATTTTTCCAACCTACCCTCTATTCGTTCGTCCTGCCCGCTATCTGAAGTTTTTGATTTACGAGAGGTGCTTTTCGACATTGAATAAAAAACTATTACACATTAGAGTAAGAAACAGAACAGTAATTTTTTTTTTTTATTGATTTTCAAATTATATTGAACTCAAGATTCGTTATATTATATTGAGTTGACTGCATATCAATTATTAAAAAATTAAGTTTCGGCTTTAAGACGAATGCTATTAATTCACTTTAAAAATAAAAGTTAAAAGCCATAATACCTTTTGCTTAAAGAATATATTAAATTTATAAATGGTTTTTTTTTATATAATTAATAAAGCGTAATATGTAGCAGTAGTAAAAGGTTAAAGATCCAAGAAAAAGATCTTGCACAATACTCATCTAGTAATCTAGTACGTACACGTACATACATACATCATATGATCTGTATATCAGATATTAGAGATATGAGCTGTTTGTCAATCATGGCCCGCATTTTGGTTAATTTGGACCATGATCGGCAAACGGTTCGCATTTCTAGTATATATATATATCATTGCTATATACAGTATATATATATATATAACGTGATATATTGCTAAACCCCCTAAATAAATTACATGATTATTTGCACTCCCCTAAAGATATTTCAAGAATCACCAAACCGATTTTGACGCTCTTACACTATTAGGTGCATCTTGATGAGCTCTACAACTTTCAATTAATTGACAAGATTGATTGTTTTAGTAAAAAAAAAGTTTTAGATATAGCACCACATATTTGGGTCAATAGTAAACTTTACTTATAAAATTTTGCAGATTTCCTCCAGATGACAAATGGATTATCAATTAAAATAATATAGTAGCTATATGAATGAAATAATTTTAATTTAAGAGAAGATTAAAATTCTGGCAATATCAGTTGCACTTCGCAAGAATACTTTATTGGATCCTGATGATAATGATCTTGAATCAAAGTGAGAAAAATATTTAGCAAGAATACTGTAATAACTTCTTAAATTCTAGTAATAATTTTTAGTATTATCTTTGAAGAAATAATTTCTATCAAGCCACTGTAGCACACCAACTTGGTATACATTTTCCAGATATTATAAATATCAAAATTTGTTTTGCCAGAACAAATAATTGCTAAAATGTTAGCATATTAACAAATTTCATAATATTAATTGCAATATCTTATAATTACTATATACTAAATAGTGAATAATCAAATTTACATAATAAATAAAATTAATTTGATAAAAAATAAATCAAAAACTTTGTATTAAGATTAAAGTCTCATAGCCTAGTAGTTTAGGCACCAAACCTTTCACAGAAGAGGTTGACAGTTTAATTATAGCTAGTGGTAATTAATTAAATTAATTATCTCTATAACCTTTGGGCCTTTTGAATGTGGAACCCTGTGGCAGTAAGACCATGTGAAGTATATATTTGGCTAATAAAAAATTCTTGAAAGAAGTTCCAAGCCATAGAGAAGATCAGATACTGTATATAACATGGGTTATGGAAGATAATACTGTAGAAAGCTATACATGTAAATTCATAATTAGCAAGATAGCACCAACAACTCTAAGGCAGCATTGGGATCTTGATTGGGAGGATAGTTGTATGCAGTATATCCAGAAGTGGTAAGAGAAGCAGTAAATATAGTAAGAGGCTGTGTTAAGAGAATAGCTTTACCAAATATACAGAAAGGTAACATATTATTGTAAATACTTTTTAAAATTTTATATTGAGCTAAATAAATAAGATATAAATCTAAAAATTATACAAATTATTATTTAAATCTAAAATTTTT